TGTCATGCCATGTCAGAAAAGCCAACATATGCAGAGATATTGACAGTGTGCTTTTACATTTTAGAGGTTTTGGGATGAATAACACACACCAAGGCAGAATTAATATTTTAAAAAAAGAGACCTTGGAGTGTTCCTCCTGACATGACTATTTTTGTACCATGACATGAAATGTGATAAGACATCAGCAAACATGCTCTCTCTCTCTCTCTCTCTCTCTCTCTCTCTCTTTCTCCCTCTGTCTCTCTCTCTCTTCTCTCTGTCTGTCTGTCTGTCTGTCTGAGCCACTTAACACGCTGGCTCGGATCAGATCAGATCCATTCACTCCACTGGGTTTAGAGCCATTAGCTTAATTAGAGACCAGACATTCAATTCACTGTCAGATATCTTGATCCGTTGGCTGCCTTTCAGATGTCTAGCTTACAGTACATCCAGGTAATCATGGTGCCAGTTGGTACTGCAGTGTATGCCTCTCATGGCTGGGCCTGCGCACTGCAGGTTATATCACAGTGACAGATATGTGTTGACTTGTGTGGAGCTTTATAGGTAAAGCATGGCACTGACACTGACAGCATCAGTGGTGACACTGTAAGAGGATGTGGTAGTGGCCCCTTGAATGGTACATGTTGTTTTAAAGTCTGTAAAACACAACTGATGGGAGGTAAGAGTAAGCTCCCTGCCCCCCGATAGCTGAAGCAAATCATCGTTCAGCTCCTTTTTAAACTGTCGAACCGACCAGCTCAGCATAGGCCTCCTCACCCTCCGCACAGCTGGACCAGAAGCAATCATTTGGCTGAAGGACTTTGCATTTACTAAATAAAAGCCATACATCATGCTGTCAGTATATATAGTAAACACAGTGTGTGTATCTGTGTGTAGTCTCTTTGCCTGGACATGCATCTATAACACTGCCTCCATAAATACATATAAAAGTATTTATTGTCTGTCAACATGGGCACAAGGGGTGTAATATATAATTCCACACATGCAGATACACATTTATAAAAACAAGTTTACACCCAGGCACATATACTGTATATTCTTATATGCACAGACATCCATAACATACTGTAAAAAATTACCAGATTAGATAGTTACTGGCCTAATCCCCAGAACCAGATTATAGTTTTAACCTTTAGAGGTCAGAAAGGACAACAGATTGCCCTCTCAACAACCCCACCCACTCAACTAGCACACACACACACACACACACACAATACTGACTATACCTGCTATTAACTACCCTCCAACCAGAAGGCGAAACCTCTAGATTAGCAGATTAACGCCGGTGTCAAAGCAGGATGACAACTAAAGTTTCTGTATTACAACAGCTGCTTGGATCATACATAGGGATCATATGTGTTGGTTTATTACTGGCATGAAATATTTATAAATACACTGCTTTTTCATGCAACTTTTCTTTATTCTATTGAGGAAATAGTTTCTATCACATACAGTGCAGTTTTCACTCTGTTCGGTCAGCCTGCTTTGTATTTCTGAGCAATAAAGTGAGCTGATTAGTTTTTTTCTCTCCGTCTGTACAGTGTGTGGCTGTGATCTGGTGCACTCGGGTTTCTTTCACCACTCTGGGGAGTACATCTGTACAGAGGACTACCAGCGGCTCTATGGGACCCAATGTGACAGCTGTGACAAGTACATCACTGGAGAGGTGGTATCTGCCCTGGGGAGGACATACCATCCACACTGCTTCGTCTGCAGCATCTGCAGGTAAGGAAAAGGGTTTGTGTGTATAGTCGTTTTCAGATTTAACACATATGGGCCTACTGACATAGAGCTACTCATGACATTTCTCTCTCATATAACTCTATGATAAAAATAATACATCCAAAGTTATATAGTATGGGTGGGTGATTACAGTAGAAGTAATAGTAGTGCATTTAAAATATTTGTATCTTTTAACACTGTTGTTTACAGCTCTACATATTGTGTCCTCAGCAATCCTCCTGGCACTACTTCATTCATAACTTTGACAACAAAAACAACAGCAACAAATGAGATTCTCACAGAGCACCACATACTGTGGTGTATAATAGCTTTACAGTTACCGATCACAGCTTCTTGCATACCACAGGTGGCCCTTTATAATTAAAATCCAATGACATATAAGTCCTGCAGGCTGTCTGTGTTTGGATTCATTGACCAGTTCACAAAACTACTGCAGAATCAATGCAAGGTTTTCATTTAAATGTTTACATACAACCAATCAAACCAGTTTTAGCTAATTAAAAGTAACAAATCAAGGTTTATTGAGGCATGCCTTTTCCAGGTTTGTCAGTCAGTCTTTTATTAAAATAAAAACTAAAGGATGGGAAAATTCGGAAACAGGTGCACACACACGTTTTAAAAGGTAAGAGTGAATGAAGTGTCCTGCTTTGGACACAACATTTTAAATTAATTTGTTTTGCTACCTTACTTTTTAATTAAAAGCGGCTATACTGCTTTTTAGTGCCCGTGTGTCACAACCCAGAAACACTTCATTTCACTCTTCATTTTTCATTCAACCCTACCTGCCTGTTAAACTCCCTGAAGGCTTACTGTTATAAAATTGAAGCCTTTAAAAAGACATTAAGCAACTTTGACTGGCTTTACAATATAAATATATATTTTTTAAGTATTATTTGTATAATTGTTTTTGGAATTCCACCTCACTAACCACTCTGGTAAGTGTCGTCAGAGCAGAGCAGGAGGTTGATGAGAAAGACATCCAAAAGCAAACAAGATACATTTTAAAATATTTTAAATCTGTAGTGTTTGTTGTGGTTGGCTGGTCTTGCTTAATTATCATACATCATGTAAATCTAATATTGGCTTCAGTTCAGTTCTCTCAAAGCTGGAGTGAATTTCATAAAAGTGACTGTAAATGAAGTGTGACTGGGGGGCAGTACAGTAAATATATAAAAGGCTAACTGTCAGTGTGTAGATGGCTCATCAGGTTTTGGTTTGCTTATGGTGAGAGTTTTTGGACAGAGTCCCCCATTTGTGTGTGTGTGTGTGTGCGTGTGCGTGTGCGTGTGAATAAAATAAATAAATAATAAAAATAAATAAAATTGTGTATCTCAAATGACTTTTTGTCAAAGCATGGCTCAAGCTCCCTCAACAACCGCTCTAGATATGTGCAGAGAAGACAAATAGCATAATATAGAGCTGGGCAGCACATTGATAATGTTGTTTTATTATTATAATCATTATCACAAATGCCAGCTCCAGCCTGAGCTTCTGTTACCATAGTTGCTGGATTTTAGGTGCAACAGGTTTGTTATCAGATACAGGTCTAGAGTCATTGATACAGTCCAAATGTGAAGTGTAGTCTCATCACAGAAATGTATGAGAATGTATAATAAGCTATATAATCACAAAGTACTTATTGGGTTTTTAAAAACACAGGATTCTCACCAGAAATGTTGAATCGTATTTGTACTCTTTGAGCTTTTTGTGTTTCTGACTTGACAGTAGAAGAACAGTGAATGCTTTATCATTTATCAACCTTCAAAGTTTTTTTATTTTTTACTAGAGGAGTTTTGGAAATCTCTGCTGAGATCTGGATAAAATAGATTCAGCCACAGCTGAACCTTGAGGCCAAAAGACATTACTGTAGTACTTAATGTACTTTTGTATTAATATTTCCGTTAAAACATTTTTTTTTCGTGTTTGCTAAAACATATTCTTTGCAAACTAATGTGTATGTGTAGGTGTAATCAAAAAGCACAACTGACCCTGATTTACTTTAAAAAATATATATTTTTCAGTGAGGAATTTGAAAAAACACTGTAAATATTTGTGGGATTTCCAGTGCTGTGTGAGTAAAACTCACTCTTTATTAACTTCAAATGCACAGAGGAGAACAGAATAAAATCTCCAATTAGTGTCAAACTACAGGAATACTCCTCAGACCTCACAGGAAAATGTTGTTATTTATTTCCTATCACTAACTTTTTGTTATGCAATAGTCCCAATGTAAAAACATTTGTTGAATATCTTCACATCTTTTATTTTAGGGTATCAGTAAAAATATCAGTTGTATTTGTCAAAACTTCTGCAAATAAAACGGACCACTAGGGGGAAAGAGGTAAAATACATGAATTTCTTTTGTGATTTGGGTGAACTGACCCTTTAACTTCATGTAGCAAAAAAAGAGAATTTCTGCATTGCCATATCTGCATAGCTTTACTGAAATTGTCTGTGTGTGTTCTCAGGAGCCCGTTCCCAATTGGAGACAAGGTGACCTTCTGTGGAAAGAAGTGTGTATGTCAGCAGTGCTCACACACTCTGAGCAGCGATAAGCCCGTCAAGGTCCACGGACCAAGCTGTAAGAAACAAACACACACACACAC